GCCTCCCCGGTTGCGGTCCGGCCCCCCCCCATGCCCCCCCCACCGCTCCCAGCCAGTGGCTCCTCACCCGCTGGGTCTGGTTGTTGGAGACCAGCTCGTAGATGGGGGCTGCTTTGGTGACCTCCAGTAGGATGGGCTCAGCTGGCACATCAGGACTGGAGGCGACGTGGCAGAGCGGGCAGGAGGAGGGGCAGCGCCCGCGGCTCTGGCACTCCATCCGCACGCCGGCCGCCATGCGCTTGGTGCCCGACTCGGAGAGGCTGGCGATGTACTCGGGGAAGGTGAGCACCTTGGGGTCCCGCTCGCGCTCCTCCGACTCGTCTGAGGGGGAGTTGCCTGGGGAAGGGGGAAAAGAGGGGCACCAAGGTGGGCTTCGAGCCATCGATAAGGGGATGCAAGGGGGCTAGAGCCCTGCCTTCCACCCAGGAGAGAAGCAGTGCTGCCCAAAGACCCTGCTGTATGCTTAAGAGCTCCCCGTTTGCTCTGTAGGGATGAAATGCTCACTGGTCTTCAGAGGAGGAACCAGGACTGAAAAGTCCACCCTGGCCTCTACCATCGCAGGTCCTTTTGCTCCCCCTGCCTCAGTTTCCCCAGCCCCAGCCCTTCACCGGGCACTGGGATGGACCACCCTTGCAGCAACAAGAGGGAGCCTCCTTCATGTGGCTGGAGGCTCCTGAAGGACCTGCCTAGGCACCTTCACCCTACGCTGACGCCCCGCCAAAGCCCCCTGCCAAACCGCTCCGCTGCAAAAGCCCTCCTGGCCCAACAGCTGATTTCTTTCCTCGAGCCCCTTGGTTCCCAAGGACTCCCATCGAAGCTGATGTGACAGAGCACGTTGGAGACCAGAGAGGATGAATGTTAGACCAGGGTGCACAGCAATGATGCTGTGGGTGCCCCCCGCAAAGGTCTGCAGCCGGCAGCACCTAAGAACGAGCAGGGAAGACTTGCCAGTGCCTCACAATGCCCAAAAAGCTCCCGAGATGGCTAGAGAGCCACCGAGCCCTTCTCCAGCCCCTCCACCCCTCCTGCACTCGGTCCCCACACAGGGGAAGGGAAATGGGGAGCAGTTCCCCTTCAGGAGCTGGCTCAAACCTGGCTCCTCCTGTCTCTTCGCACTGTCATGAGGCACGATGGAGGCGGGCAAAGTTGCAGCTGGGCAAAGAAATAGGGTCTCTCCCTAAGGGCTTAGCAGCCACCGAGCCCTTCTCCAGCCCCTCCACCCCTCCTGCACTCGGTCCCCACACAGGGGAAGGGAAATGGGGAGCAGTTCCCCTTCAGGAGCTGGCTCAAACCTGGCTCCTCCTGTCTCTTCGCACTGTCATGAGGCACGATGGAGGCGGGCAAAGTTGCAGCTGGGCAAAGAAATAGGGTCTCTCCCTAAGGGCTTAGCTTACAAAGCACCATCACGAAGCAAAAGAAAACGGTGAGATGGAGGCAGATACGTTCATCGGGACCGCAGACCCCCAGCCGGACTGTGACAAGACCGAAGGCTCGTTTACCCTCTGCCCCGTGCATACGGGGGAATATCTGCAGGTCCTACCCTGCCAACCCTCAGGCAACACTGCAACCCAACAGGCTCGGAAAAAAGACTTGCAGCAGGAAAGCATTGCCACTATCTACGCTTTTCCCAGCTCCACGCAAAGGTGCCTGACGCTGGGTGCCACCGTGGCCCTGCCGCAAGGGGCAGCGAGCCAGACCCTACACTTGGTGGGCTTTTCTCCAGCGCTCCCACAGCAGGAAATATTTTGACACAAGGGGAAAACTCCTGGCACAGCAGCCAAGAAGGTGGGATCTGCCCATCACTACTGTGCCCTGGCTAGCATCGCCCCGCTGCCGCGAGCCTTGCCGGGCAGGGGAACGCTGCTTTTCACCCAAAATCCCTGCCAAAGGATGCCCCGGGCTCTACACTGAAGAAAGAGGGGCCCAGAAGGACCATCGATGGTTGGTGGGGTTGGAGGAAGCCGAAGGATGCCCAGGCAAAGCCTTGCCCCTGGGGCAGGCTCAGGGCATCGCCGGCATTGGCTTGGTATGAGCTGGCTGCTGCAGGGAGCCACCGGAGAGCATGTCCATGCACGGCTCAATAGGAAGATCTTCCTATTGCAAGGGTTTGTTGAGAAATGGGCCAGCGATAGCCTATCCTCGAGACTCCTGCGAAGAAAACAAGGCTGTTGTTAAACAAAACCCAGGGTGCAAAAGCATTGCTCTGCTCCCCCAGCAAGCTGGAAATGGATCGCTTTGGGCTGGCTGTGAATTGCAGCTTAGCAGGCGCCGAGGGAAAGCAGAGGAGCCAGGGAATGATTTGTCTCTTGCAATTTCTCAATCGATATCCAGCTCCTGACGTTTGCAAACAAAAAGCAAAGGAGGGAAAGTGGCAGGTGCCAGAGCGAAACCGAAATGTGATATTGTGGGTGGAAAGAGACTGCCAGACCTGAAAAGCCTCCAAGCAGGAAAATCAAAGAGGAGGAAATTGCAGGAAAAAAAAAAAGAAAAGTACTTGCAATCAAAAGATGCTACATCTGGAGACAGCCCATAGCAAAACAGCAATGGGTCTGTACTCTCACAGGTGGGCTTGGGAAGAAGTCCAGACTCCAGGAGGTCTGAGCCCACAGGATCCAGACTCAGGCTCAGAAAGAAGCCTTTCCCACACGAGAGCCCTGGAGAGAAAACAAATGTCTCCGCGGCCAGGGCACAGCAAGAGCAGCACCGTAGGCTGGTGCCAATACTGAGAATTACGAAGCTTCATGATGGAAATGATGCGTGGTCTCGGTGCCTGCGAGCTCCAAGCTCACGCTGCCTGCACCCGGCAGCTCCTGGGCAGGGGACAGCAAACCAAGGTCACCTAAAAAAGCAGCAGTTCTGCTCGGCATCCCTCGTGTCCGGGCTTGGGAGCCGGCTCTTGCTTGCTTCCCAAGTCTGGGTGGTGCAAACCAACGTCCCCAGCACAGGCAGCAAAACGCCCGCAGGCAGCTTTGCAAGAGGAGATGCTGCGGTCCTGGTGACAGCAGGCAGGCGTTAGGCTCCCTCTGCTTTTGGAAAGCTCGTGTGCGAACCGGCCATCGCCCGCCTGCAAAACCCCTTCGACAGGGGAGCCGTCGCACCTCGCTGCAGCGAGGGCTCCGGAGGGGATGCAGCGGCGCCGGATGCCCTCTGCAATATGGTGAACCTCCCAGTTCATAACTGGGCTCCAGACATTAAAAGCACAGCGCTGACAGCCTGGGAGAAGAAAGCACATTAGAGGGAGAAAAGTCTGGCAGCGGGATGCAAGTGGAAGAGAGCAGATATGGCGGAGACAAAAGGAAGGAAGGAACAGGATTAAAGACAAAAAACAGTTAAGTCCAGAATCAGGCAGGACAGTTGGGTGGGATTAGTGCATTCTTCTTTCATCTCCCTGGGGATGTGGGTATTTATCTTCCTTTCTGGCCTGGACTAATGCCTGCTGCAGTCCACGGGAGTCCTTTGGCTGGCTTCAAAGAGTGCGAGAGCAGGGTGTAAATAAGAGGATGAGATGGGATGCAGCCCTGACACAGGCTGAGCACTTTCCCTGCTATGCCGAAAGCAAACCCAGCTTCCCACTCCCATGGGGTGGCTTTGGGGACCCTTCCTGGGGACGAGTGGGGCTCCTACCTTTGCTGATGTCCTCGTACTCCAGCCAGAGCTGCCGCTGGACCTGCCTGTTGGGATACCAGATGGAGCAGGACTCCTCAAAGCCATACACTGCCTCTTGGATGTAGTGGTTGCCAAACTGGTCCAGCAGTGCCACAAAATCTCCGCGGGAGGTGGCCCCATCCAGAGAGTGGAGCGCGTTGCTGAAGGCTGGGGTGGAGACAGGAGAAGATGGATCCCTCCAACACGCTTGTGATGGGTAACCAACCTCTGAGCCCATCACCTGCACAAGAACCCTCTTGCCATGCTTTTTTCCCTTCTTCCCCCCGGCCCCGCACGCTTACATTGGGAGATGGTCAGCTGGTTGAGCCGGACGTGGTACATGACTGACTGCACCTTCCAGTGCTGCAAGAGGGGGTATCCGGACACCTCGCTGAAGTTGACCATCCCTGCCGGAGAAAGACACGGGGGCTTAGTGCCCAGGGATGCCTCGTCGTGGGGATGGCTGCAGCCCCTCGTGCTATGCCTGGGGCAACGCAGCCAGCGGGGTGGGAAGAAGCCGGGGGAAAGGACTGCGCACACACCACGTCCCCCCAGGGAGGCAGCGAGGCATTCAGAGCTGAGGGTCAGCTGCTCCCTGGCAATTAAAACCGTGGCTTTGAAGGAAAACACGTAGGCTCATTTCATCCTGCCATCTGGGGCTCTGTGTCAGAAGATAACGAGCCTCCTCCTGCATCCCCTCCTGCTTCCTTCCCGGTGCCCGCTCCCAAGACATGCCCAGGTGTGCTAATTATTTCACTAATGAGAGTTGCGCTTTTTAATGAGCTCTTTGCAGGCCTGGGAACGGTCACCGTCACGCCATGCATGCCTGGGTGCAGCCAACTGAGAGGCCCTGGGGTCCCTTTCAGCCAGGACTGAGCCGAGCGGGATGCACACGTACAGGGGAAAGCACGCGCCTGCTGATGCTCCTGCTCCCTCAGGACATTATGGCAACGCTGGAGCTGAGCAGGACCTGGGGTTTCTCACTCTTCAGGCAAAGACATCCCATTCTCCAGCCATTGAACTGTGCGTTACGGGAGCCAGAAATTCATGGAGACCAGGGCTGGGTGGTAACTTCGTCCTGCCCGAGGCATGAGCCAAGGCACGTAGCAGCTCAGCTTCCATGAGCAGAGGGACAGAGAGGCCACCAAGCCTGGACAAAGCCCCAGAAAGTCAATTGAAGGCTGCTCATGGCTCCGATTTTGGTGACCAGAGCATCCCGGGGTGTGCCGCAGCAGGATGCCGGGGCATGGCCACCTCCTCCCTCGCAGCTCTGCTGCCGTACAGCCAACACGGCACGCCTCCGCTCGGCAGCGAAGCCACACAGCAGGAGTTCAGGACGATAACAATGGGCATCCCCCGCTCCGTAACAAGAAATGAAGGCAGAGGATAAGGAGAAGATCCTTTGCCTTCCCGTGCCTCTCCCTTCGCTGCTGGCTGCTACCAACAGCTTCAAAGCCTTGCTCTTCCCTGCAAAGCGTTTATGCAAAACCAGCCCTTCCTTACTCAGCAGCTCTGCCTCTCGTGTATTCACAGCAATATCCAGATCTGCTTACTGACAAGCAGAGAAGATTTTACTTCTTTTCCTTTTTTTTTTTTTTTTTTTTTTTCCCCTTAATCAGCCACAAAGAGCCAGCAGAGCAGTGGGAAATGAATAGGATAATTTACTGGCTTCTGCCTCCCCGGCATAATTGCCAGCGGAGTCCCAGTCCCACCGACCCTGCGGTGATGCTGAGGCCGCGTTGGCAGTGCCTTCCTTACATCCATGTAACCATGTCAAGAGCAGCAGAGCCCCATCGGGAGGCAGATGTCCTCCAGCAGCTCCAGGCAGGGCTGAGCATCCCTATGGCTGCAGGGGTGACCCACTGACACAGCTTTTTTGGGGTAGCTCAGCCCTGCTAGGACCCCCCCCGGCACCCTCCTCCCCGCCTGCACACACACCTACGTTGCCATGCACCACCATGCAACCAGCACCCATCGGACCTTGGGTGCAGCCCACGGGTGCTCCCCAAAACCCTCCTGGGAGCTCTGCCAAATGAAGCGAATGCACAAGGTCTCGTATGAGACCACCCTGCAGACACCTTCCAAAACACTTTACTATCCATATCCCTCATTTAGTAGCTGCCCAGTGTCCTCGGCCATTTCAGCCAACAGCAACAAGGACCAAGGAAACAAACGCTATTTAGGGGTGCTGGCAATTTGGTGGAAGAAAGGTAAATCCCTGAAGGTTGTCTAGGAATCCATGATAACCCTATTGCTCACGGCCCACAGCGCTCTGGCAGGACAAACCAAAGCATTTTGGTTTGGTTGCAGCAGGTTTTGAATGCTTTGTTATGCCGACAAAGCATTTCTGATTTGGAAATCAAATGAAAGGTATTTGGAAAACTTTTTTGCCTTGAATAAAAAAAAAAATCCTTTTTGCAAATACTCCAAACATCCAATGGATGCTTGAGCTTTTACTCCACACAATTATTTACAGCCTCTCCCTCTCCTTCATTTTTAATGTCTTCCTCTTACGGCTGCTGCTGCTGCAGTTAAGCACGGGATGCTAAAGCCGGACAAGATATATCCCACGGTAGATATATCCCCTGGGAGGGTTAGGGGCTGAAGGCAGGCACGCCGGCAGCTGCCCCACTGGGAGAGGCGTGGTTCCAGTCGGACTCACTCACCGGTGAGGAACTCGGGGTCAGGCATGGGGTCGGAGAGCTCCTCTTGGCACTGGTTCTCCAGGGGCACCGTGGCCACCACCAGCCCATCCGGCAGCTGCTGCTCCAGGCCCCGGGCAAAGTTGTTCTGCCTGGAAGTTAATTGCAGAGAGGAGGGCAGGGCTGCAGGACAGGGGAACTGCCTGGGATCATCCCCACCAGCCAGTGACCCACCCCAAAAAGCCACCCAGCCACCAAGCCTTTCCTTTGGGCACAGGTTACAAAGATGGCACAGGCTACTCTCGATGGAAAGCTTCAGATGTGCCCTCCCCACCAGCCCATCCATCTCCTGCAAAGCTTAGCCAGACATGAATGAACCAGGCAGTCTGCTAAGGTCCAGCCCCAGGCTGCTTCCCTTGCCTTCTTCTTGGAGAGGATGGTGAGGTCTGACCCTCTGGGGTCACCTCCCCACGTCCCCAACTCACCTGAACGTCCCTTTGAGCACCTGCCCCGTGGCCACC